AAGCACATAGGCCACATGTCGCGTGCACAGGGCCTAGGTGCTCTGGGCTCTGTGTGCGTAGGCATAGTGCGTGCAGGCCCCAGACACACAGGGGCCTTTCTGCACAGGCATGCTGTGCAGATGGAGCGCGCACAGTGTATAGCACATGTCCGCGTGCAAGGTAACACTCGGACAACCCGCATGCATGTGATAAGTTACACTCAGGGTCTGACCCCCTGCCGCGCGTGCGGATGGGACGTGCGCGCTTTGCGCGCACCCAAATTCACTATGCACGTGTGCACACATTCACAGTGCACAGACATCCTGTGCGGGTAGCTTCCCCGCAAGATTGTTTATCCCATTTCACCGTTTTTTTCCAAAATTTTCAATTTTTACTAAGATAAAATAAATAATATAGTCGAAATTAAATTAAAATTAAATAAAAATAATTAAAATAAAATAATATTAAATAAAATCAAAATAATTAAAAATCAGTAAGATTTACATTTTATGATAAACAATATGTGGAGAAATTAAATGAGTTCAATGCAGCCTAAAGGCCCGAATAAATAGGTTTTTTTAAATTAATTAAGCACAATGACGGGCGGGTGTTACACCTCCTAAGGTGTCAAACATTCATAAATTACATATTAGCCTCATTTTAAAATATTTAATTAATTTTAGTCATTTTAATCACAAAAGACTCCTAAAATTTTAATTTTTCTTTATTTAAGCCCGTGGGCCCTATCCTCGTGCCCAAAAGGCCCCTAAACACTCCGACTTTTCCCCGTTTTCATCCCTAAAGATTTATTTTATATTTTTTGATAAAGGCTTAAAATTCAATTTTATATTTTTGTCAAGTTTATTTCTCTTTTTACGTATTTTAATATGTTTCATTTCCTTTTAACTTATTTTCTAATTCCTAATTTATTCCTTTAGTTTTAATAAATTAAATAATGCTTAGAAAAGTACTAAAATATATAATGTAATTTGAGACATAAAATAATCCTCTAAAATTTTTGTGAGCCAAATGAATTACAAATATTTTACGATCAACTCACTATAACGTATTTAATTATCAATCGATTAGATCTATTAGGACTCTATAGAATAATTCCAAAGGAATCTAACCCTTATTTTTTAGTTTTTACGTAGGATTATATCAGAATACATAAATTACAAATATTTTTCTGTAGAAATAGATAATATTTTTCTATTGTATCCATTAAAAATAGATAATATTTTTCTATTATAGAATGACATTATAAATATTATCTAATAATAGAATAAATTACAATTAGTAGAAAAATCAAGATATTACATAAATAATTGTAAAATTATAGCTGTGATGTATGCAAAACCATGGGCTTGTCTATACATGCATAGTTTTAGCTAATAGTTTTAGAGTTGCTCTTGTATTTGCTCTAGTAATTTATCTTTTACTAGTTGGAATGTGTTTGACTCATTTTAATACCAATTCATACAACTGTATTTTTACCATGGATAGAAATATGGTGAAAGATTTGAATATTTTCCTTATTTGTGAAAAGAAAAATTTAAATCTAAATAAAAAAACAAATAATTATGTAACTCTTTTCTACCTTTACAAATTTGATATTGGTCTTATATATTTAACAAAAAAAACTCATACGCATGTTTTCTATCTTTATAAATTTGAATTGATATCACCTGAGTAAATTTCAATTATGTTAGAATTTATAATTAACCAAAATAAAGGATTACACTAAGTGAGTCAAATCTTCCCATATTTCTCAAAGTGATTATTGAGGGGTTTACTACCATAGTTAAGAGACTTGTCCATTTGAGATTGCACAGGATTAGAAAGTTACACTTAAAAAAAATAAATTTTGTTATAATATATCTAGCTTTTGTTTTTTTGAAGTTAACGTTCTCATGACTTAATGTTTATTTTTTTTTATTTTTCATCATCATTATTGTTGTTAGTGTTATTATTATTATAATTATTATGCAAAAAAATTATAGGATTATAAGAAATCATTCAAGGAGAACATAAACATTACATTAAAAAGAAAAAGAAAACTAACACATTAACAATGCAACGTAAAAGGATTAAAAAATAAGTAAAAGAAGAAAGAGGAGAATAAAAAAAACAAAAAGGTAGAGGTGGGCTCTTAACTTTCCCTTCCTCTTTTACCCTTAATTTTTTTATTCATTTCCCATTCTTTCGGCCCAAAACTATCTCACTTTTTTTTTAGTATTTCCTTTTTTCTTTCCTCTCTTATGGCCTAGAATTTTTAAGCAATGCCAAACCTAGCCTAACTCATCTTTTTTTTTTCTCTTTTTTTACTTTCTTTTCTCCTTCTTCTCACAACCCATTTCATGGCCTTACACAAATACGATGTAGTTTCATTAAGTCAAAGAAAGGAAACCCAAGGGTTTCCAGTGACCAAAGAAAAAGAATATACAGAATACGAAAAGAAAATTGGGAGAGAGGACTAGAAAAACAAAAACAAAAAAAAGAGAAGAAGATAAAAAGGGAAGAAAAAAAAGAAAAAACAGAGGAAGAGAAACTCTAAACTTACAAAAGCTTAGGCAAAAATAAAAAATTTGAAATGGATTCCAATCTAGTTTGATTAAGTAAAATCAAATCTTGAATCTTACTATTTATCTTGATTGATGACACATGTTTTTTACATAAATTCAAGTTTTTCTTCTAGGTATATACACTTGTGGTTAGACTTAGAGATGCCTTTTCTAGAATCAAGATTGTCTTCATATGCATAGACATTCTTTAGGACAATACAAGATATAATGCTCAAACTTAGATTTTATATGAATTAGAGAATTAACATTATACAGGTAATGCGGTTTGATTCAAATAAGAATGAAGGATATAAAAAAGAATCCACATACTTATTTGGTTATCATTTAAATTTGCGACATAAATAAAATATGTCCTTGATATATTAAATTTTGATGTCATATAATTGTTCTTTCTTTGATATAGAAAATTAGGGTTTTAAGCTTTTTCAAATGGATTAATCAGGTTTTTACTTTTTTCTATATGTTTTGAATTATTTGAAATTCCTAATTTTATGCTGTCTTTAATATTTATTTAAGTTCTTCAATTTAATATTTTAAAGCATAAAATTATTTTTTATTTTTGTTGGCTCACTTAAATCCTTTTGCTTATCTTTCTATTTCCTTTATTACATCCAATATAAAAAAAAACAACTAATTTTTATTTCGTAAAAGATGAAGTAAGGTATGTAATGACATTAGCATTTAGCTTCATAAAAAACTTTATAATAATTCTTCCTAATTTTCCAAAACTTATTTAGAAATTTCCATCCACCATGTTTTCAAGTATAATTTTCTACACTCCTGAATATATGTGCTTCAATTAATAGTTTTTGTAGACTTTCTTTTAAAACTTGATCTCTCTTATATACCTTATTTTGCATTTAGATTGTTTATGTCATCTTTTATTTTTAGATCATAAATTATTAATAGAAATATCTCCTTTTAGTATGTTATAAATTAGTTTTAATTTTACTTATGTACTTGGCCTATTTTCATTTTTATATGTAAAAAAAGTAAATTTTGGATTTTTCTTTTGCACAAAAATTCACTTTTAAAGTTGCGGTTTAATTTTTTATTAAAAATTTATTGTTGAATAAAGAGGTTACTCTATGAAAATTTAAATTATATGTAGTGACTTAGAGCAAAAAAGGAAAAGAAAAAGAAAAAGAAAAAAAAACAAAAAAAAAAAAGAGAACCAGAGGCGTACACGTCTTTGGTTAAAGAAGAAGAAGAAGAGACCTACATGCCGAAGAAGAAGAGGTGTGCAAGACTCTCCCTTTCCTATTTAAAAAAAGAAGGATTTGAATGGAGAGGGAGAGTTGCACGATAGAAAAAAAGAAGAGAAGAAGAAATTTATGACGAGTGAGAGAGAGATAAAGAGAGACAGAAGGAGGTTACAGTGAATCCGATTTATGTGAGAAGAGGCATACAAGACTCTCCCTTTCTCATCTGCAAAAGAGAGAGAGAAGGAGAGAGAGAAGGAGGCTGCGATAGATCCAATTAATGTGAGGCAGGTTGTAGGAGCAGGAAAGGGTGAGGTGGCTTTGCCCGTGCGCATCTAAGCCAAAAAAAAAAAACTTCAACTAGTGGGTTTGCCTGAAGAAGCAGGATCTACATGCGGCGGTCTTACCTAGAGAGAGAACGCTGATCTACATGCGCGACATCAGCTTACGATGATCAAACTGCAGGGATATGTGTTCGGGAGGGAGAGAAGCAGATCCGATCATTATATGACGGTTATTAGGTGGGTAGTGGTAGCGCGTGGCAGTTTCTGGCGACGACACATGTGCGCTCCGGCGACAACGTGTGGAGGCATGCAGTGGCATGATTTTCTGGTGGTTACTCACGGTGAGTTCCGAAATCCTAAAACCTTAAATAATAATTTGACTCAATTGAATTATGTATGCTTTAAATTAATCTCGTGGGATTAATTTAGTCAATAATTCAAGTAGATAATTCAAAATTAAGCTAATTATTAGCATGAGTGTTGGAGGGTGTTAAACATCGAGTTCATTATTGATTCGAAGTGAAATTAACTTTAATAGGGTGAATTTAGCATTCGGGGACCCTTCTACGAAGAAATTAGGTAAATGTGTTTGTACCTTCAAATGTAGATTGATTTCATTTAAGAGACTAAATAACAGTGTCCAAAAAAAATATATGTTTTATCTTAATTTACAATTTGCTACAGGATATTCACAGGATCTTCCACTTGAAATTGTGAATGATTTTAATTATTCTTTATGTTTTTACAAGTTTTATTACGCATTCTTTTAATGTTTTGAAATGTTTAATTGTGCTTTCCTTTACTATCTTGTTATGTTTTAAATTTAAATTAGGGAAGAATGTTAAGATTATAGGTGCTTATGAAGAAAATAAATTTAAGAGTTATTTAAAATTTTGGGTAAATATTGATAATTAAAGAAATTAAGTACGATGTAATAATTAAAGAATTAAGTATGATGAATGAAATTTAAATGGAGTTAGTGAATATGGTTAGAAACATTTGAATAACATAGCAAATTTAAATAAAATAAGAGATACTAAAAATAAAGAAGAAATAGTAAGGCAAGATAACGAGGTTAGTGGTAAAACTTAGGATTAATTTCACCATAAAGTAGAGACTTTAATAGGGAATTTACAGAAGTAAGAAAGAATTTTAAAAGACTTAAAAAATTTGTTTAACCAATATCAAGGAGGGGAGTGCTCGTGTATAGCCAGGTTGGCAAGTCAAGTGTGGTGAACCCTACTCATAGATATAGTTCAGCTAGACTTGGCTGGGAACTCCCATACATAGTCGTTCCATGGGTGTATGAGGAAATTGATTAGTGATACCTAATGCATAATCGTTTCGTGTTTGGGTGCATTGGGAAAGTGAAAGTGATAAGTGATGCGATATATCCACATGGTAGAGGAGATCCTTAGTGCCCTCATTGATACTAGTGGAAATGGCATTGCGCGATGAAACTATTTGTTAATAAAACAAAAAATGAATAAAAGTGAACCTAGAACTAAGTATGAAGAACATGGTATAGAACATAATTGAAATGTAATGTTCAGTGAAGTGTTTATGCCCTTAAAGGGCGAATGATAAGAATAATTGCAACATGATATAGTGACGTGTTGTGTCATAATGAATGAAGGATGGAATGCAATATGTGAATAATGTAAACAAGGAATTAGTGAGAAATTATAGTGTGTTGAAACCATAGGAATAGGGAAAAGTGAACTGAAATTGTAATTTTTTCATTAGGGGAGAAATTCAAAATAAATGATAATGAATTCATGAATAAGATGACAAAGTAGATCTACCTTATAAGTAAAATTTTGACATCATGTATTTTTAAGAAAAATGAAAATTATTTGAAAATCTATCCCGTTGAATGTTTTATGTTTTTATATAAACTTATATGGGATTATTCTCTCATTTAATGGTGCTTACCCACTTACTGAGCTTGTTAGCTCACCCTAGTTATTATTCATTTTTTATCAAAATATCGAAGATTTCGCTCGAGCAGTGAAGAGGAATCCTAATAGATATATTTATTTTGCTTTAGTAAGACTTAAGATTATTTATTTTATTTGTTGCAAGTATTTATTTTGGATGTTAGACCAGCCTCATGGATACTAAATATTTAATTTAAACAAACAAAGAATGTAATTTTTATTTTAAATTGCTACTAAAGTTATATTTTTAGGGTTTTTCATCACTTTATAGTGTGCATGCGATCAGGACTCCATATGAGAGTTTATGTTGTTACATTATATGTTTATAGTATTCTAATTTATTAATTGGGATATAAAAATTTAAAAGATTGTTTGCTATGTGAAATACAAAAATGAGTATTTTTAGTTATTTTTGAAAACTAAATATGAAAAAATGAAAAAAAAAGTTCACTCTTTAGGTTTTCTAAGAAAAAAAATAAAATTTTCAACTTTTTTACATAGGGTAATATCATCTCAATGTTTGCCATTATTTTTTTAGGTATAAAACTTTGTTAGTCTGAATTAATTAGTCTATCCTACAAAGTCATTGCCTCAAACCTTCCTATCTTGTAAAAGTTTTAATATAAAATTTTAGTTTGAGGATGATATATATTTTAATGTTTAATCCTCCCTAAATAAAATTAATGGTAACTCTTTATAACTTAAATTAAAATCTTGTTTTGTGAGTTTTATCTCATGTGTTATAGCAGTACCATTTTGACCATAAATGCTACAAGAAAGGGCTTCTAATATATATAAATATCATAACAACCAACGAATTGAGAGTTAATGCAGTCTCCTCTCTATATTATTTAGAACAAGATGGTGGGCTTCCATTACGATAAAATATGGTCAGCAATAAAGGCTTTTTATTGGACTCTAACATCTTGTCCTACATTTTTTGATCATGGACTTAGTAGCATCAATTGTAGACTCTTTAGATCCATCTACTAGTTTCACTAGCAACATGAAATCTTCAGTTATAGAAGTAAAAATGACTTTATCATTAGATGCATCATTGGAAAATTCGAGTTTTCCAATATTATTACGTCTCTTATCGTCACTGTTGTTTTCTCTATCTCATTCTTGTCAAAACTTATTACAAACATATTCTCTATTTTGTTGTTGCCTTTTTTTATTGCTACCTCTTCATCTGTTGCAGCCGCAACAATCAAATCGATACTATTAGCATTACTGTTAGATTCTTACCTTAGATGATCACTATGTAAGGAATGTATATGAGCAAATAATGCATAGATAGAATAATATTGATAAAAAATATGTCGCGTATATAATACTTAATTGGTTCTAATATCATATTAGATTTAGATCAAATAGATTTAGATCAAAATGTTATGATACTATAGGAGTAACTAGTCAAAAAGTATATAATTATTATAGGTTATTAAACATAGTTGATGTGAGATTACATCCTAAACAAACACTAAAATATGTATACACACATGTATATAACGTTAACTATATATGGATATAATTATGTGCATATATACTTTCATAGGTTTTTATACTTAGGTTATGTGAATTATATCCCAAACAAACACTTAAGCACATGATATATGTATATATATCATACAATGTATATAAATATGTGTATACCTTGATTTCCTTTCTTCTTTTCTAGTATGATAAATTCTTCAGTATTAGTCATGCTTTTTCCCTCATCTGTTACCAAACATTAAACATTCATTAAATTTAAAAGCAAAAACAAAAGTAATATATAAACATGTGAATTTCCAAAATATGAGTGCTAGTGGTTTTAGGTTTAGGTTGAAATATATATCATTACCCATTTGTTGAGTTAAGGAGACCTACAGATGGTTCTAGGTTTAGCTTGAAAAAACAGTTGGAGGTTCTTCATGATTTTTCCATAAAGACCACCAATATTTGCTCATCCTCATCAGTGTTGCTCTCGTTGCCTTTTTCATTAATCACAACACCTTTATTTGATTGTTTCCTCATCATCACGAACAATTCTTCTAAAGAACACTTCTTATTGAACTCCAAAATCTTCTCTTTCATTTTTTGACCGTACCTCTTCAATACACCTCTTGGCTTGTAGTTTGAGTTATATATCTCATGAAGAACAACATTTCTTTTTGCTTCCTGAATAAAAATTATATTACTTGTAATATAATCATATAACTACTTAAGTATATATCAAATTATACCCACCAAATAACAATTTGTAACCTATAAAAATAAGAAATGAAGTTATTTCATTCATAAAATTTATAAATGTATAGTGTGTAAAAGTTAATCTAGTTACAATGGGATCAATCTCTTCTTGCCCTCTTTCTTTTTTTCCTTCCACGTTGCTTTCCCTATAATCTGTAAGTACCAAAAAATCATTTTAATGCAATTTTCTTTTATATGCACCTATTAATCACTACCTATTATGTAATTAGGTCAAGTAAGTTACTTGAGCATAATTATAACACCTCAAAAACCTTCGTGCTAAATTTTTAATGTGAACTATAACACCCCGCCCATCACTGTCCTAAAATAATTTGGAAACTTTATTTATTCAGGCCTTTGATCGCTTTAAATTTAATTAAACATTTATCGTGATTTATAATTTTGGTTAATTTTTATTTATTTAATTTTTATTTAAATTTTATTCTAAATTATTTTATTTTATTTTATTTTAAATAATTTTAATTTAACTAAATTAAATTGAGAATGAAATTTAGAAAAAAAATAAAAAAAATGACAAAACGGAAATATTTCCTGCGAGAAAAATCCCTTGAGAAGGCCAGCTGCCCGTGCGTGTGCTGGGTACTTTGTGCGCGTGCATCCGCGCACAGTGGCAACGGGACACGCACACATGCATGGGACGTGTGAACAGCACGCACGTCTTGTCCACGTATATGGCGCGGGGTCAAGACTTATGCGCGCGTCATGTCACATGCATGCGAGACGTACACGCATCACCTCGTTCGTGGACAGGCAATGCATATTGTGGGCACGCCGTCTGTGCAGCATGCCTGCATAAATATGCCCTGTGCACCTGGGACCTACACGTAATAGGCCTGTGCGCGTGTAGGCTAGCCCCTGTGTTCAGATGAGTCGAATTGCTCGTTTTTTCAAGCATGCTATGTGAATTGCAGACACTTGATTTTTGCCTTATAAAAAGGTGGTTCTTGCATCGTTTTAAAGAAGGATGATTGAGTACCAAAAAGGTAAGTACTTTCTTGATGGGATTTCCTTCCTTTGTTTCCTTTCTTTTCTCTAATTTTTTCTTTTCTTTTCTTTTCTTTTATTTTTTTTCTTTTTTTTTCCTCTTTTTTTCTTTTGCATAGGGAAAAAAATTACAGGAAAAGTAGATTAAAAAAAAATTAGTA